TTCCCTACAAAACTGATTGAGCCATAAAAGAAACACCAGTTATTGTAAAGACAACTCTAAAACAATGTTGCAACTGACAATGATCAAACTACTACAATATGCAGTTTTAAATTTCAATTTGGCCGACGTTTTGGTTTATTTTAATTATCAATTTTTACCTGGTTTCAAGAATCACAAGAATTATGCAGCGCTCTAGTTCCAAAGCCGCTCAGAAAACATGCAACAGGCAAGGCAAAATTTTTCAAACAATTAAAGGCAAGGATATGAATGAGCTTACCATAGTACTTAAATTGAACTGAAAAACTTCACCAACCAGTACAATCTTTTTGGTCACAGGGTGCTTTTCTGTTGTACCTCCCACAATAATAATGGAATTATTAACAAATTTCCAAGCAAATTCAATATGAGAATTTGGCTTAGGCATTGGAGGTAGATCTCTCCATTTTAATCCATCATCCAGCATATAGACATTGTTATAAACTACCTGGAATAGCAGAAACTTGTGATGTGAGGAATATGTTATACAATAAATACAGAAGCAAATCCAGCAAAACTTTTCCAACATTCCAAAAAAATGAGATCACTTCCAAGTTCAAATGATTTTACCAAATCAGGAAAGTTATTCTTCACACTGTATATGCATAAATGAGAGTATGGTAGGGTAGACAACAACACTGCAGAGCATGTCATAGATTCAACGATATAATTAAAATATGTAAAAAGTAATTCACAAACTGATGCAAACATGAAAATATAAAAAAGTCCCTAAATTATTTGTATGGGCAACTTATGTTCCAACATGTAAATAAGTATAATTTGATCACTTAACTCCTCGAATCTGACCCAAAATAATGTCTCTATCGCATTATTTTGAATCAGATTTAGAGAGGAAAAAAACTCCTTTATAGCAGATTTAATTAGTCAAAAGATTAAACTGGAAATATTAAATAACATGAGACCAAAACAACTCGAAAATAGTTTAAAGACTGTTTTGACATTTTCTCCATAAAAACGATTGAAGTGCCTCAAAAGATGGATCCTATTGGAAATGAACTACCAAAATTCGCATCTATAGGAACATATCAGAAGTTTACAGATTTCAACTATTTTTGCAATAGAAAAGAGAAAATAATAATTACTTTTAACAAGAACTAAGCTGAGAAGAAACAAAACTACTGTTAAAACAAATAAAGGTCTGTGATTACCACAATACCTCTAAGATTACTCTATGAAAATAAACGAGCGAACTTGGGGATAACTTGCTTCTAGGTTTATGATAACATAGAAAAAGACGGATGATGTGAACTACACAACTCAGAGTAACATACCTACAAACTAAGAAACAACAAATTTATAGGTCAGGTTAAGCAAAGAATATCAAACTAAACTTTATAGCCAAAAAATTATAAAATATTTCAAGTAATTGGCCAAAATATATAAAAAAGCTTAATTTGGAATAAAAGATATGACCACAATAAAATAAAGCATCATAAGAGAAAATTTACGCAGGGAACATAACAAATAAGAAAATCATTTGGCTTACCTCACTTCTTCTAACACATTTAAAAATAGGCGAACCAGGTTTGGCCATAAAATCACCCTCTTGACCACCAATAACAATAAGTTTGTCATTGGCTATGACACAAGCCCTGAAAACAAAATAAGTACAAGATCAAATCATCAAAAAAAACATAGATAAGCATCCAGTTCATACCAAAAAGTTATCGATGCATTGATACATTCAATTAGTGGGGGATCACAAAAGATATCAATATAGAATAAAATAAAACTTAAAATTTATTATTGAAGACCTTATTTTCCAATATCAGTTAATGCATGGATAATGCACAAACCCGGAAAAGATACGGTACCACTTTTAATTCAGAAAATCATTAGATCAGCCAAATATACACAAAGCTAGTAACTTATAGATGTTGAACATAAATCCTTTAAAGTACATTGTAAAAGACAGTTAATCTAGCAGTTCACTTTAAGTTGACAAGTACTTTTTCTTATGATTTGAGCATCAATCAACAGAAAGGTCAAAGATCTAATTTCTGGCTAATCATGTTTGTTGAAATCTTAATGATCTAATTTCTATATAAAAATTGCAAAAAGGGCAATTCTAAAAACTGAACAGTGAGATCAAAGATGTCTCCAAGGGTGTCCTAGAGTGTCGTAGGATCATTATTCAGACATGCTGCAAGTTACAGCTCTGGAAGCTCTAATATTGAATCATAGTTCATATTAAAGATAAATTTAAACTAATGAAATTAATTGGATGATTTGGTCTTTAATTAAAGATTAGAATAATTCATGCTAAAATTATCATTTAATTAAAACCTATCTAGCCAATTATTTAAGGATCAGTTCGTTTTCTTTGCCAATTAATTTAGATACCTGATAAGAACTAATTCTTGCTGTATTTTTCTATACATAAGCCTAATTTCAGGCAATGAAATCAATCAAAAATCTCAACTTTCTTCTTTCAAAATTGTGCTAACCCATGAGAAGCATTGGCATATGGTCCAGATACTGTCGCAAATCCAAAGTTACAACAAACTCAGTTACTGCAGCCAATTCCACTATTTTCTATTTTAATGAAGTCAATGTAGTAGTTGTGTGCTAAGCTAGTAGTCCTATATCGTGCTTCTAGATGATGTTGCTTATTGTTGTCTATCGTGGCTTGTTGTGGCTGCCATCATGTTTCATATTTCAAGCAAGAATGAAGGAAATAGAATATGCTGGTGAAAATCTAAAGGAGAGAACAAATTCTTGTTCTCCTGGAGAAAATCAATACAAAAAATGAGGTATTGTCTGCAGAAGAAAAGATATAAAGTAATAAGAAAAGGTCAACTGCAATGTGAAACTACGCACGAGACACAGTTAATTAATTAATAAATCAATAGGGAACCTCTGTCGTAAATTCCTAAAATGATGTTAATTCTATTTTAGCCTCTGATTGTTGACTTATGAAATAGAATTGATAGGTTAGCAATAAATCAAGTGTCAGAGCCATGTTCCTTAGTGCACAGTACAAAATAAAGTAGTATCAAAACAGAGGAGAGTCAGTTCTTTTAATGGAGTGAATGAGACTCATTGAAAGTCCAAAAATAGATTAGAGCAAGAAGAAGAGAAAGAAAACCAAACCATGGATAACAGCAATCCTACACCAAAATTACCAGACAGGATGGTCAGACTGATAGAACAAATGGCCACCATACGGTGGATGAAGATGCAAACTATTGATGTGGCTTATGGGCTAAGTCATACAACCACGCCATATGCCAAATACAAAAAATATATGGAGAGAATGAAGATAAGGTTAGGGCTTGCCACTCATGATAGGAAGACGTAATCATTCAAATAGAAGTGAAGATAAAGATACCTACAAGTAGAGGCTTCCTACACCTTACATAGATATAAAATCACAATTGTTGTCTTTGCCCAACCAAACTAAAGAATTTATGCCCTAGTGTGGTGGGATACCCATTAAATAATGAATGGTTATCATGAGACGACTTGGGGATGTTCAAGCAGTTTACATACCAAGATTTCTACCCAACGAGGTAAGCAAATCAGTTAAAAATAAAAGAAGCATAGTTTGATGCAGTGGCAAGCGCAATCTAAGCAGACATCAAGAGAGATCCCACTTTAGACAATCACTTTGAGAATATATCTTAAAGAGACAAACACTGATAAAAATAACTCCAATTTCTCCATGAAAATTGTCAGCTAGTAATTCTCAATCGCGCCATTAAGATCAAAGAGGATGCTGCTCAAGATTCATAGGCACAATCAAATTTCTAATCAAACACCATACATAAGAGAACAAGGCTATGGAAGCTAAACTACCATAGCAACATTGGAGCTACAATGTCCTAATAGTGTAACCTGCCATTATTTTCTATTTGCTTAAGTCATTGCAGCCAAGTCATCAATGATACTAATATGCTACTTTGTTAATAGCCATTTGTCTTGCTTTTCTGCAATTTTTTCTTCTTGTATTTGCCTATATAAAACTTTAACTTCCTACATTAAAATCAATTGAATATCTTCCTCCTATTCTACCCTCTAAATTCCTTAGTCTGTCAAAATCATTGGTAAATGGTCACATTAATATAGCAAAACCTTAGTGACAATGTCATGGAACTGTAGTACATACCACCACCTTCAATTTGTTGAAGTCATTACAACAACTGCTTTGTTGCTCGTTGATTGGCATCTACCTTGCTTCTATTTTCCTTTCTATTAGTTGTTGTGGAAACTATTTGTTTGATGTTGCTTCCTTTTTTTCTTGTTGTCTTTTGTGCCTTGTTTGCATGCTATTAATTATTTTCCTTTTAATTTCAAGCAAATTCGTTGTTTGTAGCAAACTAAAAAAGAAAACATGATATCTAGTGAAAAAAAATTACAAAATCAAAGAAAAGATGTTGACCATCTAATGATGTAAAATAGTAAGGAAAAATCATCTATAACCTGAAACGATGCTTAAGATAGATTTAGTTAATCCATAGATCAATAGAGAACCTCCAAAAAAAAATACTAAATAAATATTGAATTTGCTCTAGCCTCTAATTAGGAGTTTACAATATAATGTGGAGAGAATATCTACAAATCAATAGCCATACAATTTTAGTTCTACTTTTCGAAATATTTTCAATTTCAAAAGAAACCCGACATATTTTATACTATAAACTGAGCACTTGAAATTATATCACAAATTTAATCTGATAAAATTTCAATACTTCATTATAAGAACATCATTATTTTATGCCCTTCTTTGTGATTTGTGTTCAGAATTGGCCACCAATCACATTTTATGATCGATATAATGATCAACAATAACACGAGCAATTATCACCTCCTGAGAATAACCTTATGGATCAATGGCATATTTTAAAAAAGTGGTGACGAGATTGGGACGGAGATCTACACTTCTCCCCTCTTTAAGTCAATTAATTATTAAAAATCTCTCCTTCGTTCTTCAAACCGATGATCCATCAAGATGAACTTTGATTTTTTTTCCATTCCTCACTTCAAATGTCAAGTTTTTAGATAGGTAACTACTCTAGTTTTTCACCATAGTGTTCAACATAGAAATCACGTTGATGTAAATGTCCCCTTTTCAAGTAAATACAATATTTTTAAAGTTTATGATGTTAGCAATATTTAGCAAATTTATTAATGTATTTTACACTTGTGGCTCAATTTTTTAAGATGAAAGATCTTGATTATGTTGATATTTTAGGATTGGATCAAAGTCAAAAAGTTAATTATTTATCCACCCTAACTTCACATCAATGGGTTCAACATTCATCACTATCATGTGGATCGAGTTTCTCTAATAAAATGCATTAGGTTTACAGCTTTTGGTATTAGAAACTTCTTAACAAAATTATAATTGAATTTGCACATGTTACTTTTATTTTGTTAGCATGAATGATGTCGATCATTTTTTTGATATGTCAAGGTTGGATCAAAGTCAAATAATTTAAAGAACATTGCCTAGAATTAATGAGAACTTTTTATAACTTTTAGTGCGATCAAGTGCTAACTTTCAATTGTGATATGGCAAGAAATAGATATACCGAGAGCTAATAGACATTGAGTTCAAATTTATTAAAAACAGAGTGAAATGAAAATTGTGGCTCATAGTATGACTAAAGTTTGGATTGACAAAAAAGCACAAAATTGCAAATTGCATGTTAACAATGAAGGCAATTAAGAAGATTATACTTTGGGCGCGGCGCTGAAATAAAGAATAAGAGACAATCCACATTACCATGGTTATTAAGTTGGATGGTTAATATATATTACAATGTGTTATTCATTGCAGATTTGAATAGGTAAATCATGATAATAGAGAATAGGGAGCACTTTTTATTAAGAAAATTAAACTTCAGTATATTTTTCTAAATCCTATTTTAAAGTTACAGTGAAAGGCTATTGATCTGTAACAATTCTAGTTCCCCCCTTCCACATCACAGATATGAAAAACAGAGCCAATATCGAAAACAACTAAGGTCATGAGAGATTAAGGAAAATATTTCGTTCATATTGATGGAGTTGTAGCAAGGTATTTTAAACGGTAGAGCAAGGTGAAAAGAGGTAAGAATTATGAGAAACAAAAAGAGTGTGATTATGAGGATAATGATGGATTGGAGGAGATTAAATGAAGTACTATACATAAAAAAATAGATATTGATGTGAATTTTTTTTTTAACTTAAGCAATAGATTATTGCCTAACATTCCTTACACTACTAATAATTCATATGGTGCAAGTGTTGGATGACATGCTGTTGAACATATGCTCTGCTTGGCCATGTAATTCAGCCTGTTGGAAGCAATCATTAAATCAGGTATTAGCCTATCCATCACTACATATTAATGGGACATATTTGCGTAATGATGATCACAAAAAAAAATATATATTCAAATTTGTGATTATAAAATATGACAAATCCATTATAAACTAAACCTGAAATGGCAATCAATAAAATCTAACGATTGCAAAATATTATCTTCTAGGGGTTTTTAAGAGTTTAGAACAAAATACATTGTGATCGGTTTGTGGCCACAAATTGTTAAACTGTTGAAATCCCATTCACCAAATCCATTCATGGCCTTCTAAGATTCCTTTTGACA